TTGTGTCAGGCGCACCTTAGTCCTCAAGGAGATATCCTTGCTCCTCAGCACTTGAAACAGTTCCTTCATAGTTGACTTCCCCAATGCTACACGTCGTCTAATGTCCTGACTGCTGCTTCCGTTGGCATCGATTGTAGAACCAAGCAACGTGAATTCTTTGACAACCTCAATCTTCTCTCCATTTATTGTGATGCTGCTCATTGGTCCAGTTGTGAGGATTTTTGTTTTCTTTATGTCAAAAGAAATTAGGAAATGACAAACCCTTTACTCATTAACATAAAAAAGACAAGGTCAAACCCATTACTGTCAAGCCAACTCCTACTTATAGCAACCCTATAGGATAGAGTAGTAATGCCCCATAGTGTTTCAAAGACTGGTATCTTTATGAAGCAGACTTTCCCATCTTTCTCTCACGAACAAAGAAAACCAAATGGAATTATAACCACAGGCATAGAGTTTAGCATTTACAACACATAGTTTTCTAGAGACATAATTCAAGCCATAACAGTCACCAAGCAGGAAGCTCCTCTGAGCCTTAGACCTCAGGTTTTTAATTGGCCTCCCCATACTGCCATGATAGATTGTATCATACCTCATGTTTTGGTTTTCTAGTGCTGCTAAAACAGAAGTACCACAAGTGGATGGCTTTAACAAATAGAAACATATTCTCTTACAGTTTAGGAAGCTAGTAGTCCAAGTTCAGAGTGCCAGTTCCAGGGGAAGAATTTCTCTCTATGTGTTTCTTGTTCTTAGAAAGATTCCAGCACAGGGACCTAGGTCCAGAAGATGTGCTCTGCTCCTTGTTCCTCTTTCTTGGCGGTAATAGGTCCCCCTTCTCTCCTCCCTTCTCTCTCCTTTTATCTCTTATAAGATAAAAAGTTTTGCAGGCCACACCCCCAGGGACGCTTTCCTTACATAGGATCAGGACTGTGGTGGGACTAAGGGTGTTGCAACCCATCCTTAATATTAGTCTTCTTACACTTGATTACATATCTGCCACCTTACATAATGTCTAAACAACTGAGAATCATAGTCCAGCCAAGTTAACCCAAATTTTTGGGAGACACAATTCAATCCATGACACCCCTGAGACTTACTCAACATTAGGCCCACCAGTGATCTCTCTTGGCCTGCTAAGCCCCTGCTCATTAGCTTCAGATGTCATCTGGCTCAAAAGTACTGAGAACAAAGGCTAAAGAGCTTTTTGTAAGGTGATTCCACAGCTTGCAATCAGCAATATTTTTTTTTTTTAAATGCACATTTTATTTATGTTTGTGATGTCTCTTTAATTAAACTTGGGTAAATTATCTTTATTTTTAAATCTTTTTTTATAAAGGGTTAAATTAGCAGTTTTACCATACCATATTTTCTCACTTTCTCCTTTCTCTCACTTAAAATTCTGGAGCAGTGCTTTTTAATCTGAATCCTTGGACTGGTAATATAGGAAAGGACTCCAGAAGCCCATGAACTACTGAAAATGTGTGTCCACAAGTATATTTGTGTGGGAAAAGAATTCATGTCTTTCTTCAGATTCATAAATTGGGGCATAGCTCCCCAAATTTTATTAACTTCTGCCTTGGATTTTCTGCCCTTCCTGTTAGGAAATGTTAAAGTATATTACATTTCAAAAAGTATATAACAGAGCAAAAGGCCATCCTAGGCACAGCAATTGGTGTCTATTCACCTGGAGCACCAGAAGAAAGAGAAACAGGAAGAGGAGGAAGAAATGGATGTGTGGCTAATTGCCTCTATGAACAACTGCCTCCTCTGCCCTGAGACCACAAGAACTGGATGGTGCCCAGCTACTACTACTGCAATTTGATAGATGATTTTTATAGAATTCTGATCAAAAGGGGGAAATGCAAAGCAGAATTTTAAATTCTTATGGAAACCAGTATTTCTGGAGAGGCATGGAGGCTAGATGAAAACTAATATCCTAAGATAATCTTTAAGCCTTATACCAAAAATACCCCTTGAAGTCTTCTTAGTAAAGAATGTCTGCCTAGAGCACTATGCTTTCTTAAGATCTATCTATCTGGGATCAAGCTGACATCAACACAAAATATTAGGTAGAAAACTGAGAGGGCAGTTAGTTTATGTTAGTGGAAAAGGAACAATTCAGAAGAAGAAGGTGTGAAATACTACTCAAAGAATATAATCAATGTCCCTGAATTGTACAAATAGAAACTGTTGAATTGGTCTATGTTTTGTTGTGTGTATTCTCTACAACAGTGAAGAAATAAAATAAATTATTGTTTGTTTCAAAAATGTTCCCTGATGCAGGCAGCCTGAGAACCATTGTTCTAGAGCAGTGCTTCTCAAAGAGTGATCCCCTCAACCAGCAGCATAAGCATCACTGGAGAATTTGTGAAAAAGACAAATTCTCAGCTCATTCTCCCAACTTCTCAACTTACTGTATCACAATCATAAGGGATGATGGGAGCACTGTTGGCATAGTGCTTAAGGCACTTGACTGCCAACCAGAAGGCTGGCAGTTCAAACCCACCAGCCACTCCTCTGAAGGAAAGTTGTACAATCTACTCCCACAGAGCTACCGCCTCAGAAACCCCAGGAGGGGCTGCTATGACTCGGAGACTACGCGGTGGCACATAACAACAACAACAACAATCACAAGGGATATGGCCCAGTGATTTGTGTTTAACAAGTCCTCCAGATGTTTCTGATGAACATTAATAGTTGAGAAATGCTTCTCTATAGAGACACAGGATGAATAAAGCATAGCACTTGCCACTAAGCATTTCTCCTTGGTCTCAAAGAATTCCCAGTTGTTTCAAATTTGCATTTTAATTACCGAGCACAGTTCTACAATCTATAACTTTCATTGATAGTGACAGTATTGTTACTACTTAAAAAGTGCAATGTTTTTTTCATTTCTTCTTGGGCACCCAATAAATGTTCATGGGAATGTAGTGGTCAATGAATAATATCTATTAATAAAAGTCTTATGAACCTTATGGAGTAGGCTGCATTGTCATAGTATTTTGTAAAAAAGAGAGAGAGTAAGAAAAAGAGAATAAATTTTACTCTCTCTCGATATATATATATTAAAAGGGAAATATTTTCAATAAAAGATTTTAAAGGATCTTTGTGTTGCATTTCCATTCTAGGTTGTCAAATTATTGTTATTGTTGTTGTTGTTGTTAGGTGTCATCAAGTCATCTCCGACTTATAGCAACCCTATGTACCACTACCCAGTCCTATGTCAGCCTCACAATTGTTTTGCCGGAGTAAAGGCAATTGAAAATACCTTGGCTGGAGTTAGGCTCAGTTCAGTCTCCAAAGAGACCTCTTTGCTCTTCCACACTTTAAAGTGGTCTTTTGCAGCAGATTTGCCCAGTGCAATATGAAGTCTGATTTCTTGACTGCTGCCTCCATTGGTGTTGATGGTGGAGCAAAGTAATATGAAATCTTTGAAAACTTCTATCTTTTCTCCATTTATTGTGATGCTGCCTATTTGTCTAGTTGTGAGGGTTTTTTTGTTTTCTTTATTTTGAGGTGTAATCCACACTGCAGATGGTAGTCTTTCACCTTCATCAGTGATTCAAGTCATCTTCACCTTCAGCAACCAAGGTTGTGTCATCTGTGAATCCCAGGTTGTTAACAAGTCTTCCTACAATCCCAGTGCCACGTTTTTCTTCACATAGTCCATCTTCTCAGATTATTTGCTCAGTATCCAAATTGAACAAGTATGGTGAAAAGATACAATCCTGATGCACTCCCTTTTTGAACTATGCAGTATCTCCTTGTTTTGTTCAAACAATAGCCTCCTGGTGTACGCACAGGTTCCTCATGAGCACAATTAAGTATTCTAGGATTCCCATTCTTCTCAATGATATCCATAATTCTTTATGGATAACATTGTTTGTTTCCAGTATTGTGTGCTTTCAGCCAAGATCCATCTGACATCAGCAATGATATCCCTTGTTCCACATCCTCTTCTGAATCCAGCTTGAACTTCTGGAAATTCCTTGTCAATATACTGCTGTTACTGACATTTTTTTTTTTTTTTCACATTTATTACTATAGCTCTTTTACAACTTTATTATAGTATAATTGACATAATAAACTGTATATTGAAAGCATTCAATTTGATCAATTTTGGCACATGTACACACCAATAAAAAGTCCTGGTGGCACAGGGGATAAGTGCTCAGCTGATAACTGAAATCTGTGGTTCTAACCATTGGATCCCAGGGAAAAAGGTGATCTGCTCCTGTAAAGATCATAGTCTAGGAAATCCTATGGGGCAGTTCTGCTGTGTCCTGTAGGGTCATGATAGAGTTGCTTTGAGTCATACGCAACTGGTTGGCACACAACAACACCATACGTCAATACCATAAATTAGTTTGGGGGCATCAATTCTATTATAGATATCTCTTAGTTGTGCCAGGCTCCCCTTCCACCCTCAAGTGGTAGAATGGTGTTGCAGAAAAGGCTTCCTGAGTATAACTTAAACTGAGACTTGAAGGGCAACTAGATATCAGCCCAAGTGGACAGGATGGGAAGGGTACTAACAGAAGGAAATAAAACCCATCTGACCTGTCTATAGTCTAGAATCTTGTGGTGTTTGTTAACTATCATCACACAGGATTTTAAAATATGTGCTAGACTTCTTTGTCTCTTAAAATCCCACTTGACAAATGAACTTAATTGCTAGTGAAATGTATGGTGCTGTCACTGCGGGTAGCAATTCTTTTTTCTATCTCTGCAGTTAGTTTCTTGCATTGGAATAATTCACTTAACTTTGGACACTGGTGCACTCTCAAATGCATATTTTCCTAATCTGTGTGTTATAGAGAACAGCTCACTTGAAGTAGTATTTGTGCTTTTATATAGCGATGGAATCTAATTACTAGCTTTTTGCTCCCTCTTTCCCCCCAGCATATTATCACATCCCTAAATGATTATCATTGTCCTTAGGTGCGAATACCAGGATCTTACATTTTGATCTTACATTTTCATTCTATCTTCCATTGCAGGTTGGCTCCATGAGTTGGGAAAGCGACTGGAATCACCATACTACGGCAACAATACTTTGGGGGGCCCATCAATCCGAAGTGCCTATATCGCCGCTCTGTACTTCACCCTTAGCAGCCTCACCAGTGTTGGGTTTGGGAACGTCTCTGCTAATACAGATGCAGAAAAGATCTTCTCCATCTGCACCATGCTGATTGGTGGTGAGAACTTATTCCTTTATATCAAGAGAAGGAACAAGTGTCTACTGTCCCATTTTCCTTTTCTTGAAACATGGAAATGATACACTGGTTTATATGGGAAGATTCTAAAACCACTAATTAAGAAATCAGTAGCAAATATTTTAATATCCTTACTGATTAGAAATTCAAGTCTGTAATGTCAAAGAATCCCATTTTCTGGACAGATGAATAAGAACTATTTACTTAATTTTGAAATTAGGTAAATAATGAAATAATGAAAGCATTAAAAAAAATGCTGTGGCGATCCGACCCATAACAACCCCTTCTTGGGTTTCCGAGGCAGGATCACTACGGAAGTAGATTGCCCAAACTTCCTTCTGAGGAGTGGCTGGTGGGTTTGAACTGCCAGCCTTCTTGTTTAGCAGTCACATACCTTAGGCACTACACCACCAGAGCACAGGCACAGTTATTATTTTGTCTCAAATTTATTTTTTGATGAAAATTACGTACACCAAAACATACATCTCCTCAACAATTTTCACAAGTACGGTTCATTGCCCATGATTACATTCTTCATATTGTCACAATCTTCCCCTATTGTTTCCCCACTGTTAACATATACCTGTTAATGGTAAATGTTATTATACCATTATACTGTTATTGTTGTCATTGCAATCTCATATAGGTAATTCTTCCATCAAGTGAAAAGCTCAAGGCAGATATTATTGAGCTAAATTATTTAGTTTAAAGATGACTTCATGGGACAGGATCAGCTCAAGATTCAAAAGTTATTTCTAGGCAACAGATTCAGGGACCCCACTAGTCTCAAATGTGTCCAGTAAGTCTAGCTTCCAACAAGAATTTGAAGATCTATTCCTCAGTTTTCCTTTATTTGATCAAGACCTATCTATTGGGCCCATGACCAAAATATTAAGTAATGATAGCCAGGTAACATCCATTTCTTCTAGTCTCAAGGCAAGGGAGGTAGTTGTTTATGGAGAATTAGACTTGCAGCCATTTCCTTCTCCAATTCCTGGGTTTCCTTCTTCCTCTGTTGCTTCAGGGGATTAAAGACCAATTATTTTATCTTGTATTGCCACTTGTAAGCTTTTAAGAGCCTAGGCACTACTCACTGAACCAACAGAAGAGTAGAAACTCTTAAAATACTGTTAAGCCAATTGACTGGACAGGCCCATGAGACCACCACCACAACCCTTGCACCAAGAGAATTAATTCCATGGGGTTTTTATGTATAGATAAGTATTATTAAGAGCAAAGAATTCTGATGGTGCAGTGTTTGAAGCACTTGGCTGCTAACCAAAAATCAGTGGTTTGAATCCATCAGCATCTCTGCCACAGAAAGAAGAGATGGTCTGCTTCCATAAAGATTTACAGCCTTGGAAATCCTATGAGGCAGTTGTACTCTGTCCTATAGGGTCTCTATGAGTTGGAATCAATTTGACGGCAATGGGTTTGGTTTTGGTTTTATTATTAACAGTTGCAGTCTTTCTTGTTTTACTTTTTCTTTCTTTGCCGCTATTTTATTTATCATTCCACCCTCCCTTTAATAAAATTTTCTAGTGTACAGCTTACTGATATGAATAACAAAAGTCAAACTATGTAACAATTACACTTAATCGATGCCAATTTTCCCATCCGCACAGATAAACATTCAGTACTTCTCATGGAATGATCTTTCCTCCTCCCTCTCACCACTGGCAACCTCTAGTAACCACTGGTGACATTTAATATAAATAAGAATATACAACATTTGTTGTTTCGTGATTGACTTATGCTCACTCAGCATAATGTCTTCAAGGTTCATTCATATCGTAGTATGTATTAGGACTTCATGTATGTAGCATATTTTCTTCATCCATTCATCAGTTGAGGGACCCTTGGGTGGTTATCATCTCTTTAGTATTGTGAATAGTCCTACCGTGAACATTGGAGTACAAACCACGTCTGTTCGTGTCCCCTCTTTTAGGCCCCTCACATATATACCGAGGAGTGAGATTGCTGGATCATGTCAAACTTAAAAAAAAAAAAAAAAAGAAAGAAAGAAAAAAACACAACTCACTGTCATCGAGTCAAATCTGACTAACAGCAATGCATCTTTGGGATTCCTAGCCAGTATCTCTATGGGAGTAGATTGCCCAGTCTTCCTTCCAAGGAGTGGCTGGTGGGTTTGAACCTCCAGCCTTCAGGTCAGCAGTCAAATGCCTTAGGCATTAGCTCTATTTCTTATTTTTTGAGGAATCACCATACAGTTTTACACAGGGGTTGTACCATTTTACATTCCCACCAACAGCTGATAAAATTCCTATCTCCCTGCATCCATACCAAGATTTGTTGTTTTCTGTTTTTGTTGTTGTTGTTGTTTTGTTTTGGCCATTGCCATTCTAGTAAAGGTGGGGTGGTATCTCATTATAGCTCTGATTTGTATCTCTCTAATGGCTAATCAAAGAGCCCTAATGGGACAGTGGTTAAACACTTGGCTACTAACAGAAAGGTTGGAAGTTTGAACCCCCCAATGACTCCATGGGAGAAAGATGTGACAGTTTGCTTCCATAAATATTATAGCCTTGGCAACCCTAGGGGGCAGTTCTAGTTTGTCCCATAAGATTGCTATGAGTCACAACGGGTTTGATTTGGTAATGACTAATGACAATAAACATCTTCTCATATGTTAACTGGCTGCTTGAATCTCGTTGGAGAAGTGTCTGTACAAGTCCTTTGCCCATATTTTGATTTGAGTTATTTGACTTTCTGTTGTTATGTGTTATTTTATTGTCTTTCTGTTTTTAAGTTTTTATTGTGATTTGGATGAAAGTTTACAGAGCAAACTGGTTTTCCATTCAACAACTCATACACATTTTGTTTCGTGCCATTGATTGCAATTCCCACAATGTAACAGCTCTTTTCCCACTTCCTCCCTGAGGTTACCATTTCCTTTTGTCCTTCTTTCCTATCCCTTCCTGACTTCTGAGCTTTTTCCCTGCACAAATGCTGCCCTTTTGACCTGGTATGGTTGATTGTTGTAAGGAGTGTATAATTCCCTAGTGTTACTCTTCTCCTTATAGGACTGTCTATTGTTTACTGAGGAGCTCTAGTGGTGTAGTGGATAAAACATTAAGCTGCTAAACAAAAGGTCAGTTTTTCAAACCCACCAGCTACTCCACATTGGAGAAAGATGAGGCAGTCAGCTTCCCATAAATATTTACAACCTTGGAATCCCTATGGGACCGTTCTACTGTCTTAAAGGATTGATATGAGTCAGAATCGACTTGATGGCAGTGGGTTTGTTTTGTGCTTATTGTTTACTGCAACTTGAACCAAGGGGCTGAGTTCAGTTCCAGGCTTGAAGGGTGACTAAGGGCCATAATCTTAACGGTTCCACTAGCCTCTATCAGACCAGTGAGCCTGGTCTTTTTTATCATTTTGAGTTTTTTTCCACATTTTTCTCCCCCTCTATCCAGGACCTTCTATTGTGATCTCTTTCAGAGCAGTTGGCAGTGGTAACCAGGAATGCTCTGGTTCTTCTGGTCTCATAGTCGTGGAGGCTTGAGTTCATATGAACCATCAAGTCTATGGAATGCTTCCATGCTTCTTTGATTTTCTCTATTCATCTATGCTTCAGATGGGAAGAGAACAATGGCTACATCTTAGATGGCAGCTCACAAGCTTTTAAGACTCACCAAAGTAGGATGTAGAACATTGTTTTCATGGATTATGTTGTGCTCTTTGTTGTTGATGTCCCCTGAGACTGTGGCCCTGAGCCCCCACTCCCAGTGACTTATTCCCTCAAAGTATTTGGTAATGGCTAAGAAGTTTTCATAGCTTTGCTCCTTGGATGCTGTACTGTATTCATGGATGTATTTGAAGTGCATATTAATATATCTATAAAAAAAATCCTCTGTCAAAACTGTATTAATTAATTCATGGGTGTCATCCCATTTGTCTTCCTACACCTATTCAGTTTATGTGTCTATATTTCTAGCCACTTGTAAATTATTGTTAGTACCATTATTGCAGGACTCTGTATGTAATAGTGTTGGTATTTGTTCCCTTTAATGCTTGTGTTCCTCCCAGTGTCTCCTGCTGCCTTGATCATTTTGTGCTGACTTCCCCTTATTGTGTATTGTCTTTCCCTTGACTCAAGTTAATATCTGTCTACCCTCTAGTTAGTGATTTACTCTCCCTTCACCTCCCACCCCTGGTAACTTTCAAATAATGTTTCTTTCTTTGTGGAATCCTTTTCTTGACTCTCCCCCACCCCCATAAGCTTTCCAAGGTGATAATCTTTCATTATTATTATTATTGTGATTTGGGTGAAAGTATTCAGAGCAAATATGTTTTTCCATTCAAAAATTCAAACACATTTTGTTTTCTGACAGTGATTGCAATCACCACAGTTTAATAGCACTCTTCCCACTTCCTCCATGTTTACCATTTCCCTTTGTCCTTCCTTTCTATCCCTTCTTGCCTTCTGAGCTTTATCCCTCAACAAATGCTCCCTCTTTGATCTTGTATGGTTGATTGTTCTAATGAATGCATACCTAGCTGGTGTTAACCTTATAGGTCTATTATTTGGCTAAAACTTGAGACTCTGGGTGGGTTCAGTTCCAGGCTTAAGGGTTTCTGTAGACTCGGGGGTTCCATCAGCCTCTATCAGACCACTAAGCCTGGTCTTTACTATGATTTTGAGTTTTGTTCACATTTTTTCTCCACTCTTTCTGGGACTTCCTATTGTGATCCTTTACAGAGCATTCAGTTGTGGTAGCTAGGTACCATATGATTCTTCTTGTCTCAGGGTCATGGAGGGTGGAATTTATGTGGTCCATTATTCCTTTAGACTAATTGTTTCTGTGTGTGTTCTCTTTTCTTCATTCTTTTTCACTCCAGATGTGAAGGAACCAATAGTTAGTTGCACATTAGATGGCTGCTCACAAGCTTTTAAGTCCCCAGTCGCTACTCACCAAAGTTAGCATATAGAACATTGTCTTTGTGGAGTATATTAC